CAAGGCCGAGCAGGCATCTTTGATCCCTGCCCTCTGCTACGGCACAACTGTGGTCCTTCCACAGAAATGAGCTTAGACCCATGGCCTGCCACAGCTCTGACTTCTAAGGCTGTCGCCATGGCAACCAACACTACTCCCATCCTACTGTGAAAAGAAAATGGCTGTTCCTCTAAGGAGCTCACCAAATCTCCATTGCCCAGGCTCTCTGTCCAGATCTCTCCTTACTGGTCCCCCCGTCCTGGCAAATTGCCTTCAGTAAACCTGGATTCCCAGTTGGAGTTTTGCTCTTTTACAACATTTTGGTTTTAAACTGCTGAAAGAAAGAGGAGGAAAGGCAGAAAGGGATTAAGTCTGACTTAATAAAGCATTTCTCTGCCTTAAATCTATGTTCCTGTAAGGTCGATATGGAAATGCTGTAGTTGGGGACAGAATGAATGCAGGGATCTATGAGAGCAGAGCAGATCTGTCCTTATTCAAGGAGTACTTTAGTATCCTCTAGGATACTACAGGTCAGATGGTCCTGTCATCTCTGTGAAATAGATGCTCCTTTTCTACCCCTCTGATAATGCAGAAAACTACCCATCCTTCCATCCTTGCCTGCCCATCTTGTGAAATGCTTGTCCCTATCCTTCCTTAAGTTTGTAGGGAGTAGGAGGGGGGATATCAGTATGGTCTAGTGAGAGGCACACTGACCCTGGTTCATATCCTACCTCTGACCTTGGGCAGATCACTTAATTTCCCAGAGCCTCCGTTTCTTCATGTATAAAATGAGTTGGTTGGGATAGATGGTCTCTGAGGCCTTTTCCAGCCCTAGGTTCTTGATGCTATCATCCTTAAAAGGTGCATTCAATGTATTGAGGACCATCCTTGCTTTACTCCAATATCCCAAAGATACTGTTAGAGTAGGAGGTCTGTTCAAGGGTCATCTTTCCTGTTCACCATAATAAAAGCTCACCTTGTTCTTTGAGTGTATGTTGTGGTAATGATATCCTATATTCCTGTTCTTCATATTATATACAGAGAATTTTGCTTTTCTTAAAATTTTAGCCATCCCCAGACCAACTTACTGCAAAACAAAGACTTTTCAGGACAGCCTGTGAGGGCAGTTGTGATTTTTATCTCTATTTGTGACTGAATGTGACCACTTTCTCCCCATCGTTCTCCCCCAGAGAGCTCGAGTTCTGGGTGTGAAATATTCCCTGGACAGCATGACCAATCTATTCCCTAGCACGCACTAGCCATCAAATGGGAAGAAACAGAGTTTGCACAGACAATAATACACTGGGGTACACAGTGGTTTGGAGTCTGTGTATGTTGAAGCTAGCTCACTCCTCTCACAAGTCTCTCCATTGACCTTTGTGTAATATTCATTTTAAGTTGCTCAGAGACTATTAGATTCATGTCATATAGCCCCTATAACAACACCAGTTGAATACTGATTTTCTGATGGGCCTTTGTTTCTACTAGAATTTAGATTCATTAGAAGAGCTTTGTATAATTTCTGGAAAGTAATGCAGCTTTTTTCCCTTTCCTGTTAAATTCTCTGTCTAGGTCTGACAGATAAAGTCTGTAGGCTTGTCCATTCAACTGGCCATTCCTCATCCATGTGTTTTTTCCTGGATGGATGGTGAGGTCAAACTCTTTTGAGTAGTTACTGAAACAAGCTCTACAGTGTTCAGATACTTGATGCAATCAAAATAATGTCATCCAGAAATGGGAGTATCTGCAGAACCATATTATTCTTAGGGAATCCCTCTTCAATCTGAGCTACATTCTGGCTCTTCTCCATGACAGTGGTGAACATCTTTAGTGAGCGTACATCTTCCTGTTTTATGTGTCACCTGATATTGATGAATAGAAGGTTGTTGAACAAGATTATCTCTGCTGTTATATTTCTCAGGGAATCCTGAATAGTTTTCATGTGTGGATGAGATATATCTTCTTGGAAAGGAGCCTTGAGGACACTCTTTTACTCTACCAAATCAGATGTGTTTTTAGAACCAATGAACAATAAATGCAGTGGAATCTTGTATTCTCTACATAGCGGGCTCAGAGATAGAAGGGATCTCAGAGTCCAAGCCCTTCATGTTATAGATGAGGAAATGGAGGCCCAACGAAGTTTGGGCCAAGATTTGTTTGTGAAAATTTGCCCAGGATCACTCAGGTAGAAGGCTTCCTGTTTCCCCAATAAAAGGTTTGTCAAGGTTGCTCTAGATATGTATGTAGATTATTCTCATAAGAATTTGTATAGATGAAAAAATAGGCATTTATTTTTGTCAGTAGATACAATCCTCTCTGCTTGCTTTTTAAAGTATCTATTGTTGTTGTTGAGTCATTTCAGTCTTGACTAATTCTCTATGACCTCCTTTGGGGTTTTCTTGGCAAAAATACTGGAGTGGGTTTGCCATTTCCTTCTCCAGCTCATTTTAGAGATGAGGAAACTGAGGTGAACAGGGTTAAGTGATGTGCTCAGTGTCACACAGCTAGTAAGTGTCTGAGGCCAAATTTGAACTCAAGTCCTCCTGACTCCAGGGCCAGCACTCTATCTGCTGCACCATCTAGCTACCCATTCTAAAGTGTTAATAAGGTACACATTTTTTTCTACATCTTTGATATGTTTCCCTGCCTTATAAATTGAACCCATAATTCCACCCCATTTATGTTGTTTCATACATGTATTTTCTCTGTGTAGTGTTCCTTTTCCCATCTTTGTTCTCCTTAGTGACATCTCTATTTTCTGTATAAACACATCTAGGATTGTGATGCTTGTGTCCAAATGTGATGGTTCTACTGTCCCTGATGGTGGAAAAGTTTGTTATAAAAATCTTGGCAGATTTTTTTTGTCCCTTCTGCTTGTTGAAATTTCATTTTTATCCTTAAATGCCCTCAGCATGACTTGACTTCATTGGATCTCTCACTAAGTTTTCTTAAATCTGATTTTATCATCCACTGCTTCTCTGTTTAATGTGAAGAGACCACTCATAATCTTCTGTCTACCATACTTCTTAAAAATATTTTATAAAAAAGTCTTATTCTAAAGTCATATTGACTGGATAAGGAGTTAAGGAGTGTTTTTAGGATCTGTTGGTCTTCCTGTTCTGATAATTGATTTACAACAGTTAAATTCATGGATGAATTACTGTAGTTTGTATCTATCTACATAATGTCTTCCATCCATACCCAACTTTTCACCATCAATTATTTGTTTATATAGGTCAGGATGAAGTTGTTTTAATTATATTCCGTATTTTTCTTACATGGATTCTTTCTTTTAGCTTTGTAACAAATCTGAACTTTCTTCCAATGGGTTGGTTATCTAACTGTACACAGATAACTTAATTCAAGAATGACTCCCATATCTGTAACAAGATGTTTCCCATCTGTTTAAAATATAATCAGTTTGATTTTAGGGGTGTCATTTCTCCAACGTTCTCCAGTTCTTTTCTCAAGAGTAGGAATGGTTTACAGGTGTGAGCCCTGTGTGTAGTCCATGAGTTTTTGATTTCTCTTCTTACTTTTCCCCATTAGCAATTTCCAATCTATTTCCTGCCATCCATTCCACCTTTGCATTGAAGTCACCAAATTTCAAAGTATGTGAAGATTTAATTTGGAGGTTCTCACCTAGCTCTTCATAGAATCAATCTACCTTCATTCTCTGTAACAGATGTTGACGCATAAGCTGTAATGATTTTTATGCCTTTTTGCAAATATTTATCGTACATACTGCAAAAAGATGACTAAATGTCCCATGAAATGATGCTTCTTACTGCCTTTACACACACAATAAAACTCTGTCCATTCCTCTGTTTGCCTCTCCAGGGAGAACGTGTGAACCGCTCTCCTATACTTGTAATTTCTTCTTTCTTCTGGTTTCATTTATAGTTCAGTGTTAAGGGTGATATGATTCATTTGCCCCAGTAACATGGCTACTAGCCGATCATTAGACAAGGATCACACATTTAGGGTGCCAGCACCTATATTAAAGTTTAAAAATGGGCTTAACAATTCAATCTTTGCTCCTTTTCCACAACTCTGACATAAATAAAAATGGAATGGGTCTGCAAAGGAAGAAAGACCATTTTGTTTTGTATATGAATTTTTATTTTATAAAAAACAAGTAGAAATTCAATTTACCAGATATTTTGTAGAGCACCTACTATTTTTAAGTCTTCTTGCTAGTTGCTGAAGAATTTTTATTTAAAAAAAATAATAATTAAACACATGCCCTGCCTTCAACTTAACCATCTCATATGTCACAGAGGAAAAGATATTTGGGGATTTTTAAAATTGTTATTCAAAGACATCTGACAAGAAACAAAACTCTTAGTAGACTCTACAGGCTTTTATGGGGGTATCTAGCTCAGAGGGGTTGGCAAGGCAGTGAAGCTTGATAATTTTATCTAGCTATATGCATCATAGTCGATTTTATTAGAAGACCAAGAGAACATTTATTTGACATTTCTTGTTTTAGGACTAGTTTTAAGGAATTTTTAAAAGCATAGTAGACTGTCCTCTGAGGGTTCCTAAGCTTAAAGAATCAGATAAAGATTATTTTCCCCATAACTCTGGAGTAGCTGATCTCCTGCTATATCTATTTAACTGATTTAGACATGTCTCATCATATCAGGCCTGAGGGATCTTTCAGGATTGTGGCTTGGAAGAATTTGTGAAGCTGCTGTTACCATGAATCCCCAAAGCGTTGTAGTTTGATACAGCCCCATGAGCCATTTTAAGAGGTCAGAAGCAGTCAGGGCGAAGGACATCCAACTTCTTATCAAAGCTTTTCACAGTCTGGCAGAGGGTCAGAGTTCCTCAAAACCAGGGCTTAGACTTTGTGGTTATGAAATGATGGGCATATTATCTTAATAATAATAGTAAGACCCAGGTCCTCTCCTTTTTTTTTTCCTATTTATTCTAGTACTATAACACCAAAGCATAACTCTTTTCTCAGAAATATCAGTCCACACTCAGAAATTTAATGTGGATTCCCCTTTTTCCAGTTTCTCTACAGGTGGATATTGTTCCCAGCCAAGGGGAGATCAGTGTTGGAGAATCCAAATTCTTCTTATGTCAAGGTAAGTAGTCTGTGTCCCCCCGGCTACAGGTGGAGCCAAAGTTGTTCTGGTGACATTTCTATCAATTAGCCAGAGCAGGGGCTAATGGCTCATGGATCCGTGTGGGTCATGTCACTCCAGGTGTCATAATGCTTGGGGAAGCTAGACAATTAGAAACTCTTTCTAAATTCTCCAGTATCCTCCCATCTATCTCCCTCAAACTATACCAAAATATATGTCTTCTGAACCTCTACTATCTAGAGGTAATCTGAGGGAGACAATTTACTGCAGTCCAAACAATTCTTCTTTGAGAACAAAGGATGAACAAGAAGTCTGAATCAGGTCTCCTCCCTCCCTGGACTTTTATCTTTTCTATGTACATTCTAAGTGCTCATAAATTAAGGTTTTCATTTCAACAAACATATATTAAATACTTTTTTATGTACATATCATTGCTCCCTGCCTTTTCACTGGCTCTCTTAATAAGGACAGCACTGTTTCAAAAATAATGCCAAGATACTTGTATTTAGATTTGTATTTTAGACTTTTGCCAAGATTTTTAATATCCAGGAGCCTCCAAAAGTTCATTTAAAGACTTCTGGGTTCCAGGATCTCTCAGTCAGAGGTGATGACAGTTTATTGTCATTCTCCTCTACGTACATATTGTTTCCCCCATTAGAATATAAATTCTTTGAGGGCAAAAATGGGTTTCACTTTTCTATTCATATCCCCAGTGATAAGGACAATACCTAGTACCTAGGAGGCACCAAATAAATCCTTGTTGATTGATTGATTCTCAAGCAATGTCCAGGGTAAGCAGCAGGTTTGTTTTAGCATATTCACAACCTTTGGGTGATGTTAATTTTAAGACATACCAAAAAAAAAAAAGAGCACCGAAATTGTTTAGGAAGAGAAGGGGTTTTGTTTTTATCTATCTTTTTGTTTGGGGAAGGGGAATAAATGAGGAAAAGGGCTTCAAAAATCAATCTGATTTGCATTGAATGCGGTGACTTGTAGCTGGTGAATTTTTTTAGACTCAGCTTTGCCTTCATTACAACAATTTAAATGATCTGGAGATGCAGCAACAAAGCCCACAGCACATCTTGCAAATAGCGATATTTATTGAAAACATGATGGGCCTTGAATAGAAGGAATGCTCCATTTCCATGCTTAGCAGCTGTGCAGGGTTGAGAGGTGGTATGGAGACAGAGACATACAGGGTCCATTGTGAAGGTCTTTCCACCTGTTCTCAGAGACCATCCACTCTGGTTCATTTCCACTTCCAAGAGAAACACTCATCAAGTGGGAAAAACATGTCTTTTTTAGAGGCAGATAGAAGGAAAAGTGTTGCTCTCTTTCTGAGATGGTCACCTGGGAATGGATCCTGGCTTTGCTACAGCGTAGGAAATGAAAATGTGTTTGTGGAGATGAGTGCCAACATGAAAGCTTTTTGTAGCCATACAATAAAGTCACTAAAGTGAAAGAGTTTAGGCCCCAAACTCCTCTACCTAGTCCAAAATCTTATCCTCAGTTCTAGAGGAGACAATTAGAATTAGCCTTCAAAAGAGAAGCAGGTTCAAAACTCTAATCCCTGTTGGGTCAAGTCTAGGTAAGTCCTTTTACTGTTTGGTTTTTCATTTTCTCATCTGTTAAGGGAAAGGCTAGTATTCCATGCTATCGTACAGAAATCAGACTAGAAAAATGTCTCATGTGCTCTTCTGACATACATACTTTGGTTGCTCTCTCAGCTAACAGCATTTGGTTAGAGGTCACTCTATGCGGAGCATCCAGCTTGGTCCTTTCTTTCTTTATCTGGAGGTTCCAGGCCTAAACCCTTTGAAAATATTGTTCTCTCTCTCTCTCTCTCAGTGGCTGGGGAAGCCAAGGATAAAGACATTTCCTGGTTCTCCCCCAATGGAGAAAAGCTGACCCCAAACCAGCAGCGGATCTCAGTGGTACGGAATGATAATTTTTCCTCCACTCTTACCATCTACAATGCCAACATTGATGATGCCGGCATCTACAAGTGCATTGTTTCAGGAGAGGACGGCAGTGAATCAGAGGCCACCGTCAATGTGAAGATCTTCCGTAAGGGCCTCCATCTTCTCCACCTCAAGTCCTTTTCTTTGGAACAGGAAAGTAGGAGGTAGTAGGCCGGTAGTGAAGAGGTTCAGGATGGTAATGAAAGAACCAACTGAGTTCTATACCTCCAGGTCTCAGCATGCATCAGGGATTTAACAGCCCTCTCTCCTTTCCCTTATCCCAGGGCTGTGTGGGTGGCCTAAATAACCTGTACTGGTGGGCACTAATTAGAATTAATTCCTAATTACTCTATATCCCTCAATTCAACAAATTAGTTCCCCTCCAAAATATTAAGGGCATCTCAGCCATTGTCTCCAGGATTTTGCCTCATGTGGCCTAATCAATGTTCCATAATTCAGGTTAGACCCTTCTCACTTTACTCTCCCAGGTCCTGATGAACTCTTTAAAGTAGAAGATGACTTTGGAATTCTGTTATTCAGAGGGGACAATTCTCATTCCATGTGAAACCTTGTTTGGGGCTGTCATCTCATTATCTAGTTATTGGTACATCTGTCCCACTGACCTGTCTAATGGCGGGTGACAATTAATGGAACAGCATTAGTTGCCACAGTACTTGTTACCAGTATTGGTTCCATTGAGTCTGCTTTTTCTCTGTTCCTTCATCAGAATTCTCTGCTGTGGGAAATCAGAGGGCAGTGAGTGGCAGGGAAGAAGAGAGAATTGATTACTTCTATCAGTTGAGGCATACAATGAAACCTTTAATAGACAAAAAGAGAGACACAATGTATTAAACCTCTTTGTCATTCTCCACCAAGGCTGGGGCTTTTTTGGTGTTCCCGAATTCTCTTTCTGAAAAATTTTATTTTCCCTCCCAAGATCTCTCCTTTCAGAGTCCAAGTAGATCAATCAGTCAGTGAACAAGTACATATTGAGAGATTGCTTCTGAGCCCAGATCGGTTCCTCATGCCTCATTAGTCCCTAGACTGCCATGAATTGAAGGCAAAGTTTCCAGACTTGTTCTGTATTCTACACAGGCAGATGTTGCCATGTAGGCATGTAGTCTCTTGTCTGTGGTGTGAGTTCCACTCGGAATATATTTGGGGATTGTAATTTTTTTCAAGGGGTACAGGTCATACATCATAGCCCTTGTTACCAGAGAGTTCTCGCAAAAGTTCTCTTCTTACAGTGGCAAGTGGGGGACACAGCTATTTTCCTGTCTCTGCTAATTTTCAGAGAAACTCATGTTCAAGAATGCACCAACTCCTCAGGAGTTCAGGGAGGGAGAAGATGCCGTGATCGTGTGTGATGTGGTCAGCTCACTGCCCCCTACCATCATCTGGAAACATAAAGGCCGAGATGTTATCCTGAAAAAAGACGGTGAGAGTTCTGTTCCCCAGCAGCTACATCTCCCAATGGACCCTTAAGCGTCCTACATTTTGTCAACTGTGCTCAGTCTCCGAGTTATACTGGCCGAATGTTGAGTCCATAGCTCCATGGCCATATGGCTACCTGAGAGAAAGAATTACTAATAATCACTTATAGGGAAGACCCATCCTATTTCCTTGTTCAAAGACCAGCCTTTGAAGGACACTACTGACCTCTGCCAAAAATTTACCCCACCTAGACCATCTTAGCTAGGAAATGAATTCCTGCCCATAGTGTTCTTCTCAGGTTTGAGTAGGGATAAATTCTTTGATTAAATTTCCCCAAGGCGTGGGTGATTTGGAACTAAATGACATGATCAAAGTCATGTCCTGCAGTCCTACCTTTCATTATAATATTCATTCTCTCTTATTACCAGTTAACCAATCAGAATCTGTTGCCACCCTCAGGAACACCACCCTTCCAAGGACATATAAATGTTGAGTGAGTTCCACATGGGGTCTTTGGCATTTGAGAGTGTCACTGATTCCTTTTATTAATAATATGCTAATATTATTAATAAAATGATTAATTACCCAGAAATGATGTCTCTCCAACTTTCTAAACATCACATTACCAAAGCCTGTGCAGATTTATATTTGAAAGACCCTTACTTTCCCCAGAAACAAAAGATTTTATTGTTGCTGCTATTTCTTAATGCAGAATGGAAAGAGACACATTTCCTTAAGTCAAATTAATTATCCTGCCCTGAGAATATCCAACAAGGGGAAAGGAAAGGGTCAGGTAAGTGCCTGAAGATGACAGAGCTCTCTGAGTTATCCTTGGGTGAACCGGCCTTTTGTCTCTTGTAGCCAGGTTCATAGTTCTGTCCAACAACTACCTGCAGATCCGCAGCATCAAGAAATCGGATGAGGGGACATACCGCTGTGAGGGCCGGATCTTGGCCCGTGGGGAGATCAACTTCAAGGACATTCAAGTCGTTGTAAATGGTGAGAAGAGCTGCTCTTCTTCCCTAGATCCCTAGCTATGTCTCACCTTAACTCCTATATCTCCTTTAGTTACCTGTAAAAACCAAAACAAAAACTCCCCGCACTCTCCCACATATAGCTCATCCAGAGTGTTTCTATCGTAAACTTCAATGCTTTCCACAGCTACACTCATTTTTTTGTGTCTTGCCTAAATTACAGAGCTATTGTGCAATAATTATATTTCCTTTCTTGTCCTCGAGTCTTGGAAGCTTTGCTTGTGGTAAATCACAAATTTTTAGTCATTGTTACTCTTACTGTTACAATAATGGTGAATCAGTCCCCTTGGTTCTAGGTTCAGAGGAAATATTTCAATCAATTCAGGTTCCAGAATTGTCAGAATCATGGCTCATGGGCTTATTAATCTTAATTTGCAGTGTCAAACAAACAGACCAGTAGAATCGATCTGACATTTACAAGATGTTTACAGGAAATTATAATGTCAGTACTAAGGAAATAAGTAAATCGTGCTTGAATTATTTTGGCTTGTAATCTATTTTTCTCTAAACCTTCTCCCTATCATACTTTTTTCTTTGGTAAGGGATGCTTCTACACAGTATGATTTGTGAAAAATTCCAGGGGAATTTAGCCAACCATCTCTGGCTGGGTAAATGTATTTTTGGCTATTGTTATTTGCTAGGCAGGTAGGTGGTGCACTGAATAGAGAGTTATGCTTGGAATCAGGAAGACCTGAGTTCAAATCCAGCCTTTGATACATCTAGCTGTGTGACCCTGGGCATGTCATTTAACCCATTTGCCTTAGCTTCCTTATCTGTAAAAATGGGAATAACAACAATAATAATAATAAAAATAACACTTACCTCCCAGGATTTTTGTGAGGATCAAATGAGATAATAATTGTAAAGTACACTTTTTAACACAGTGCCTGGCACATAGTAAATACTATATGAATATTAGCTATTGTTATTATTTTAACAAATATTCATTAAGAACCCACTATGTCCAAGGTACTGTGTCAGGCACTGATGATGTGAAGATAAATACAACACAGAGTTTGATCTCAAGGAATCAATCCAGTGGGAAGGGAGGGACAGAGTAGGGGAAATGGAATGAGTACAAAAGATCAGACAAGAGAGATCTGATAAGTACAAAGAAACCTGGCTAGCCAGAGTGCTATGAGAAATTTGAAATGAGAAGTCTCTTTCAGTCAGGGGCAGAGGATCAGGAAAAGTTCACAAAGAAGGGTACCCATCCATAGAGCTTTGAAGGACAGGATACTTCAGCAGACAGAGACAGTGAGTGGGGGACAAGAAATAATCCATTGCAGGAAAGGGAGAGAGCATGAACAGAAGAAGTATGTGTGTGGGAGGGAGCAGGGTAAAATCAAGAAATGGAAAAGAGTAGAGTGTGGCTAGAATAGGGACTGTACCTGTGATTCCACTGGTATAGGGAACTCCTGGATGGATGATTCCCTGTACTAACGTAGGTTAGCACCCTCTCTGCAGCCTAAGGTCTTAAGAGAGTTGGCTAGAGCACTGAAATGTTAACCAACCTCCCCAGGGTCACACAGTCAGTATGTGTCAGAAGTGGGACTTGAATTCAGATCTTTCTGCATCTAATGCTGACTGTCCACTAAGCCACACTCTTCTCTCACGACTGGAATGCAGGATATATTGACCATGTATGTAACCAACTAATGGGAAAAATGGGAAATCTCTGTGCCCATTTTATTAGTCCTTCCATTTCTTTCCCAACTAACCCTAAAATGATCTCACTCCTTTTCAGTACCACCCACTGTTCAGGCCAGGCAGAGCACAGTGAATGCAACGGCAAACCTTGGCCAGTCGGTCATACTGATGTGTGAGGCGAAAGGTTTTCCGGAGCCCACGATGAGTTGGACAAAGTAAGAGCGTGTGTCGAGTCATGTTGCTTGGGGTTTATGGAAGAAAGGTAAAGACGATAGTGTTACAGAACCCACTCCATTTGTGCATTTTAGCAGGAGGAATGTAACATTGAAGATTAGGGCACTGGAGAGTAATGGGTATCTGAAGAATGTCAGCTTACTGTGTGCCAGGCACTAGCTAGGGATATACAACGAAAATGGAACCATCTCTACTTGCAATGAAGTTATATTCTAATGAGGGAGGCAACAAATACATACCCATATTTATACAGCAGAAACATGAAGTGAACAAATAAATCAACATATACAAGAATACTTAAATTCAAGGTAGCTAGGCAGGAGAGGGGATGAGCAGTTCAGGGGCTCCAGAAAGGCTTCATGCAGAAGATGAAGCCATCTTCCTATACGCAGTCAGTGGGTTCCTTAAATTTCATGACTTAGAAGGAAATTGAATCCTGTAAGCATAGGGATGGTAAAAGAGTCACTCCCACCATCTACTGGGAAAAATCAGGGGATCATAGGAATAGAAACAAGAATATAAGAGGAAATACAACTCAGTCTCTTGAAACTAGAAAGGTGCACAGCCTCCCTGGCTCAGGCTACATTGTATAAAGATGAATGGGAAAATTTAAAATCTTAAGTTTGTTGCAAAAAATAATAAAAATCTGTATGTTTTGGGGTCTTATAGGGATGGAGAACAGATTGAAATAGAAGAAGATGACAAGTATGGCTTCAGTGAAGATAGCTCTGAACTGACCATCAGGAGAGTGGACAAGAGTGATGAAGCGGAGTATGTCTGCATTGCTGAGAACAAAGCAGGAGAGCAAGATGCTTCCATCCAACTGAAAGTCTTTGGTAAGTGTAGACAGGGTTTTATTTTCACTGCTCTGAGAGGCACAGTGGCACAATGGATAGAGTGCTGGTCCTAGAGTCAGGAAGACCTGAGTTCAAATGCAGCCTTAGAAACTCGCTACCTGTGTGACCCTGGGCAAGTCACTTAAGCCTTGTTTGTCTCACCTTTTCCATCTGCAAAATGGAAATAATAATAGCACCTACCTCATAGGGTTGTTGTGAGGATGAATGAGATACCAATTGTAAAGTGCTTAGAACAGTGCCTGGCACATAGTAAGCTCTATATAAATGTTTGCTACCCTAATTATTATTATCTGTCCCCACCTTCCCCACCCTGCCCCTCTTATAACTTTGTGGTTTCTTCCCACTCTTGTCTCTCCACTACATATGGAATAATACCATGGGAAGGAATGAAAGAAGCTCCTCTGTCATTAAGGGGATCAGATTGAGTTAGGAAACTTTGGCTCTGCACCTGGGTCTGCAGCCCACCAACTGCTTAATGTGGAGCAAGCCACGGAAACTTTGTGACTTAGTTTTTTTGTCTGCCAAATGGGAGATTTAATTAGATGATGTATGGGAAAATGCTTTGTAAACTGTAAGTAGGCAAAGATGTGGTGACGGTATCACCTTGTATTCATAACTGTGGGAAAACTTCATTAATCTAGGGACTGAATTTTGCCCTGGCCTGAGGGAGACAAGTGCGTACGCTAATTTTTACAGCATATACATCTTTTCTTTACTTTTTGTGAAAAAAAAAAGATTTACTAAGTAAAGGAGTAGTAAATACAATTTTGAAAGGGAATGTTTAAGGAAAAAACCCTTAAATTTTTTTTCTAAATCCTAGTACCTTGATTTTTTTCTAATAGTGTTAACATTTACTATTAAATTAGCTGCTTTATTCATCTCTCACCACATCACCGTACTTGTGAATGGGGGGAGAAGAAAAACCAATGAGCTTATTAACAGTCTTAGCCAGATCTTGTTCAAGGTTTTAGTCCATTTAAATACTATGTGAGATCAAGGGTACCTGGCTGGATGACCTATAACAAAACAGATAAGTTTAGTTGAAAAACAACAACAACAATAAAAAAATTTTATTTGAACGGGGAAACAACAAGCACTTCACAGCTATATTGTAATTAGTTCCTGCATGAAAATAAACCTTTTTTAGGGACTTTTCACATCCATTGTTCCTATGTAAGTATTTGCTACTAATGACAAATGAGACGTGTCAAGCTGGACTCAGAAACATCTTCAGTTCAAGGTAGTATATGAACTTGAAATCAATCAGTCAACAAACATTTATTAAGCACCTTCTGTGTACCAAACACTACACTAGGTGCTGAGAGTACAAAGACAAAAATTAAACAGCCCTCGCTCTCAAGAAAATTATAGTCTATTACATTAAGGCTTGAAAAAAAGTCTATAATTCATACTAGTCTACTTAATTACTATTGCTAATAATAATAACTCAAACTTATGTGATTTAAAATGTTCTTCTCTCACAATAACCCCCCAAAAGGCCGTATAGTATTATTTATATGGCATTTAAATGGTGCAGTAGATAGAGCACTTTCTGGCATCAGGAAAACCTGAGTTCAAACCTGGCTTCAAACACATACTAGATGTATGACCCTGGGCAAGTCATTTAGCCAATGTCTGCCTCATTTTTCTCATCTGTAAAATAGGGATAACAATACCACCCACTTCTCAGGGTTATTCTAAGAACAAAATGAGAGAATATTTGCACATCTTAAAGTGCTGTATGAATGCTAGCTGCTATTAAGTGTCATCCCCATATTACATATGAGGAAACTGAGGCACAGAAAGATTAAGTGAAAACATGAATATTTCAAAGAGATCTCCTTTTACAGCTATTACTTATATTCAAAAGTAGTCTATCCACAACATTAGGATACATAGGAGGAAAACACACAATAACCACCGTCGTTCAGATGACACTTGATCTGTGGAATTTTTCCAATTTTTTTCTGGGCACAGGACCACCATGCAGTGAGAAAGGGAAGCAATAAAATCCTTATTTTACAGATCACAAAACTGATTTTCAGAGAAGATAAGTGATTTGCTTAGAACATCAAGCCGAATAGAAACGTAACCCTTATTCCCTCACTCCTCATCCAGGACTTTATCTCTCTTGCCATGTTGTTTTGGGCATTTGGCAGGACTATATTCAGGCAGTCCCCAGCTGACAAAGGGAATCAGCTGTTTGGAATTCTGAATGCATTTCCCCATAGAAACAGTGTCATACATGGCAGTTGGTTTCCCTGGCCAGCCCACAATAGCTTATTTAACCCAAAACGTAGCACCACGGCTGCAGTAATGGTTCTCCAGAACATAACCACCACAGATACTGATTCTGTTGGGTTCAGATTTCCAAGATGGCGTGTCAGGAGCCCCTGTTTTCTCATACCTGTCCTGTCAGGGGAGTTGGGAGGTTCTCCCTGTTCATAGCCTGTCCTATTTCTAGATCACAGACTTCAATAGGGTTAGGGTCAGGGCCACAGCCCAGTGATGAGGAGCCAGGTGGGCAAGGGAAGAAATGAGTGGATACTAAACAAGGAGGATTAACAGGTAAAAGGGACTTTGGGGCAGGTGTTAAGGTGGTGCAATGGATAGAGCACCGGTCCTGGAGTCAGGAGAACCTGAGTTCAAATCCAGCTTTAGACACCTACTAGCTGTGTGACCCAAAAGAAAGAATCACTCAGTGAGTAGAATGGTTACTTTCTGATCTTTTGGGGAGGGAAGTCTATCTGTGAGGCTTCCACAGAAGGAAAGGACAAAGTTTATTTTCCCTTCCTGCATTTTCTTTCCAGAGACTATAGAGATGAGTGGGAATGGAGTGTTGGCCTGCACGAAGTTTACCTTTTTTGTCACAGTCAAGTAACTGTAAGTTATTTGCAAAGTGAAGACTAGTTTTCTACTAGGAAAGAAGGTGACAGGGTTTGAAGACTATCTGCCCACTCTTCAGATTATCATGGTTGAATGAAATGTCCTTTAAAAAAACAGAAATAAAAGGGCTTCAATGTGAAAATAAAGAAAAGGGATCTGAAGAGTCAGAAAGCAACCCTGACCCGTGACAGGAGGTTGGAGGTTGGAGGTTGGAAGAATATGTCCAAGAAGAGAAGGAGAAGAAATGAACGTATATCAAGTCAACAAGCATTTATTAAGCACCTGTTGTATGTCAAGCACTGTGCTAAGCTCTGGGAATACAAAGAAAGGAGTCTTTGCTCTCAAGGAGCTCATATACTAGTTGGGGAGCCAACATTCAAATAATTAATATGCAAACAAGTTACACATGGGATAAATTGGAGACAATCTCAGAGGGGAAGCACTAAGATTAAGGATGACTAAGAAAGGCTTCCTGGAGAAAGTAGGACACTAGCTGAGATATCAAGGAAGTCAGGAGGCAGAAATAAAGTGGGAGAGCATTCCATATATGTGACGGCCAGCAAAAATTCCCGGTCAGGAGATGGGTTGTTTCAGGAACAGCAGAGACCTCCATCACTGGATCTCAGAGTAGCTTGAGGGGCATAAGGAATAACAGGACTGGAAAGACATAAAGGGCTTCAGTTATGAAATGCTTTAAAAGTCAAGTAGAGGATTTTGTATTTGATCCTGGAGGTTAAAATAGGGAGCCACTGGAGTATATGGAAGAAGAAGGAGAAGGAGAAGGAGAAGGAGAAGGAGAAGGAGAAGGAGAAGGAGAAGGAGAAGGAGAAGGAGAAGGAGAAGAAGGAGAAGAACAGAATGATATTCATGTTCAGACCTATGCTTTAAAGAGATCCATCTGATGTGAAGCAAAGTAATAAATCTGAGTCTCTTCTGAAAGATGAAGGAGCCAGACCTTCTGAGAATGAAACAGCTGCTTATTCTCCAAGAATATGACGATGTGGATCTACAGGTGCCATCCCATGAGACAGCATCCGCTAAGTGTTCAGAGGCGGAAAAAACAAGTTGTGGTGATTGGAGACTCCCTGTTGAGAGATAATGAGGCAGCTATTTGTCAACTCGATATTAACAGTAGAGGGGTCTGCCATTTTCCCAGGGCACATATCCAGGAAGTGCTGGAAAGCCTTCCAAGACACATCAAACCAAATGACTACTACTGACTTCTGGTGCATTCTCAAGGGTGTAAATGATACTGCCAGAGGGAGTCTAGGAAGCATTGCTGAAGATTATGAAGTTTGGGGTAAGAAACTGAAGCCCTTAAGACCACAGGTGCTATTTTCTCCCCTGCTGCCAGCGAAAGACAGGGGCTTCAGAAGAGAAAGGCAAATTGGAGAAGTAAATAGCTAGTTAAGAAAGCATCTGAAAATAGGATTTGGAATTCTACACTACAGCTTAAAATGTAGCACTAGTGGCTTCCTAGCCAGGAATGGAGGGCCTCTACAAAACTCTTATTAAAATGCTTAGAGTTTTGCAACTCTTAACACTGAAAGAAAGGGAGCTAGAGAAGGTTAGCAACCAATAAACACCAGGCTAAATGTCTCTGCTGAGGGTAGGAAGAACAGTAGCCGTAGAGGCCCTCACCACAGAAGAGAAATTCTAAGAAAGGAGCCAGTGACAACAACGATAATCAATCAAGCAATAAACATTCATTAAATGCCTACTGTGCATGAGCTCTGCCTAGCTAATGATAGCTAGCACTTATGTGGAGCTTTGGGCTTTGCAAAACACTTGATGAATATTATTTTATTTGATCCTCACAACAACCCTGGGAGGCAGGGGTTGTTATTGTCCCCATTTTATAGATGAAGAAACTGAGGCAGGCAGAGGTCAAGTGACTTATCCAGGGTCACAGGGCTACTACGTGTCTGAGACTGGATTTGAAACCAAGTCTTTTTGAATCCAGGCCCAGTGATCTACCACAACAAAAGTTCAGGACCTTTCAGTAAGATCATGGGTTAATAATAAAGTATGTGCAATGAAGGACAGCCAGGTGGCACAAGATAGAGCATTGGGCTTGGAATCAGGAAGACTCA